CGGCTGCCCCGCCGTCCGAGCCCCGGCACGGGGTTCCTGGAGGGGTCCCCTTCCTGTTCCCCTCCGTCGGGGAGTCTGAGCGGGTGCCTGGTCGCTGCTGCAGCAGCCGGTGCCGGGAATCGCGGCGTCCAGGCTGAATCTGAGCGTTTAACCCAGAAGAGGGAGTCTCTCTCCCTTTCCCTCCCTCTCTCGCACACACACGCTCTCACAGGGCAGTTCCGCTAAACCCCCGTCCCGGGCTGGAAGGGAAGTTCCCGGGCTGGAAGGGAAGCATCTCAGTTTTTAAGAAGGGGTTTGGGAACTTAAACAACAACAAAAAAGTAAATGAAACACGGGAGAAGATTCTTCTGCTTCAAGAAAGAAAAACACAGCTGTAAATATCTGCCCACCGTATTGCCACAGAGCGCGGATCCTGACATCAAACGACTCTGCCCATAAACGCTCAGCCTTACGAAATAAAGCAACGAGTAATTCTCTATCCATCGCCTCAGGCTCTCGGCATTTTAATGCACTGACTTGCTGCCACCTTGCCGGTCGACACCTTGTCGCCAGGTAAAGCGCCCAGCGCGGGGGTGTGCGGCTCCGTGCACATTTCAGAGCATCGGCGATCGATGGGTTTTATGCTCAGCAGCAACACAAGATACTGGTCGGCGATGTCGACCCAGCTGCTCGCATAGCAGCAGCTACCAGCCAGCGCTCGGACACCGTCAGGTCCAGCGTAGGACACACACAACCGCGTCGAGGACATTTTTGTCACAGCTTCGCACACCCGGGGCAGGCTGCGGTTACAGTTTTCGGCTCTGCTTGGCTTTCGCCATGTTTCTCCTGTAACACAAGGCTGACGCTTAGGTAGCCAGCCATAGACACATTCTTGTGGACGTCTTTCTGAGCAGATATGATGAAAAGTGACAAATGATGCAATCAGCTCTCCATCCTTACATAACATGTTTAGGCAGGCATTTTAAACCACACACCCTCCTTTCAAGACCTCAACTTTCAAGTCTAGTTGCTCTACGAAATGGACGTGACGGTCCTTCTCGTGACCATCTCAACAGGAGTGCACAGAAGAGACAAAAGTCAGGAAGTATGAATCCGTTACAAACGCACTGAGAGTGTGACTTCCAAATAAAGCTGCTTTCCTCATACCTCCTTAAAACACTGCATCTCTACATACTTGTTCTCCATCAATTCTGACACTTCTCAGTCAAGGGAGAAAACATCTGGAACAGTTTAGCAATTCAAAAAAAATGTCATAACCGGTTTGCCCTAAGATCCATTCAAATACTGTGACAGTTTCTCGTCAGACACTCGTGGCTCTCAGCTGGCCCCTCACCCAGGGCTCCCTCCCACTCCTTTCTCCCGGCAGCGCGGGGGAACCTGGCCCTCGGTGTCTCTGCCTCCTAGGTGAGGGTGGTCTGAGCTCCGCTACGGGAGGGGGGAGCGGGGCGGGGGCCGCCACATGACTGAGGGGAGGCGGGGAAGAGGAGGGCAGGGGGCCGGGGCCGGCCGGGCTCCGCGCATCTACACGAGGGGTTT